AACTCAAAAAAAAAAAAAAGAGCAAAGAGGTGAGAACAGGAAAAAAATCTATGCAGGACAAGGAAGAGGCAGTCTGAGTCAAATGGTGCAAAAGAACAGTGAAACAAGAGTTGGAAATGGTAAGGGGGGTCAGATGCTGGGGCAACATAAAGAATCCAGCTCTCTGAGCTGTATTGCCGAGATATGTAACATTCCCCATAGAACAGATACTGCTCGGACTCTGCTAATAACTTAATAGTGATATGAATAGCCAACTGATTACAATTTGTAATGCCTTTCCAAATACTATCTTATTTAAAAGTCATTCTTCTAAAAATTTATTTATATTTAATTTTATTTTTATTTTTTTTGAGTTGGAGTCTCACTCTGTCACCCAGGCTGGAGTTCAGTGGCATGCTCACGGCTACTGCAGCCTCGACCTGCTGGGCTCACCTCAGCTTTACAAGTGGCCAGAACTACAGGCATGTGCTTCCATGCCCAGCTAATTTTTTTATTTATTGTAGAGACAAGGTCTCCCCAAGTTGCCTAGGCTGGTCTCGAACCCATGGGCTCAGGCAGTTCACTCACCTCGTGAATAATCCTCCCAAAGTGCTAGGATTACAGGCTGAGCCACCGAGCCCGGCCTTAATTTTTTAAAATTTTTTTATTGACAAGGTCTCCTTGTGTGGCCCAGACTGGTCTCGAATTCCTGGGCTCAAGCAATCCTCTCTTCTCAGCCTCCAAAGTGTTGGGATTATAGGCGTGAGCCACCACACCCGACCTAAAATCCATTCTTGCAGATGCCTCAGTGATATAATTGAGAGGGTGAAAAATCACTTATTTGAAGCAGTCTCGTGACAGATATTTATTAAGAGTAGATAGCCTTGGCTGGGCATGGTGACTAACACCTGTAATCCCAGCACTTTGGGAGGCAGAGGTGAGAGGACTGCCTGAGCCCAGGGTATCGAGACCAGCCTGGACAACTTGGTGAGACCTGTCTCTGTAATATATAAAAAAAAATTAGCCGAGCGTGGTAGCATGAACTTGTAGTTCTGGCTACTTGGAAGGCTAAGGTGGAAGGATTGCCTGAGCCCAGTAGGTCGAGGCTGTAGTGGCCATAGGCATGCCACTGCACTCCAGCTTGAGTGACAGGGTGAGACTCCAACTCAAAAATAAATAAATAAAGAGTAGCCGGGCTCGGTGGCTCAGCCTGTAATCATGCGCCTTTGGGAGGCTGAGGTGAGTGGATTGCCTGAGCCCGCGGGTTCGAGACCCGCCTGGGCAGCGAGACCTCATCTCTACAATAAATCAAAAAATCAGCCGGGCGTGGTAGCGCACGCCTGTAATTCCAGCTACTTGGAAGGCTGAGGCGGAAGGATTGCCGGAGCCCAGCAGGTCGAGGCTGCGGTGGCAGGGAGCGGCCACTGCACTCCAGTCTGGGCGACAGAGTGAGACTCCAACTCAAAAAAAAAAAAAAAAATTAAAGAAAGAAAGAAAGAATAGATAGCCTACGTGACACCACCCTTCTATGTGACTGGTTACTTTACCTATGAATAGAAATGGTTTTGATTATGCTATGTCAACTGTATGTTTGTGTGTTGTGAGTGTGTGGAAAGAAGAGAAACGAAGTGAATAGGAAAAGTATATACAACAATCCTCTGCTGTATGTTTGCTATCATGGCAGAGATCTTGATTTAGTTCTGTCTTCCTGTCACGGCAGCTAGAAAGGAAACTCAAGTTGAAGCACTAAAGAGAGAAGTTGTGCAGGTGAAGTGACTCAGACTGTCCCCAGGCAGTTTACCAGAAACCACGTGAGAATGTACCATCTGTTCTTGCTGATCTAGAGATCAGATTTGAACCTAAAGTACTGGGCAGAAGCTAAAATAATACCATTTCCTGCTTCTAACAATAGTTGGCAAATTTTTAAAAGACTCTTCAATTAAAAAAAAAAATTAGTTCAGTCTACTTCTCCCTTACAAACAAGGTAGGGAATTAGCTTGTGAATGGTACATTTGTGAGCTAGCAAAAGTACTAATTATAAAGGATGCACATAGCCCTGAATATTTTCCTCTTCTGTTTCCCTGTGCAGTCAGTTCTTTATCCCCAGGACTGGCTTAAGGTAAGCTCTGGATGGCCTCAAGAAGCCTGCTGATTACCTAGTGTATTGAAAGCTCTGTAGACAGTTCGCTTCACACATTACACTCATTCACACGGTGTCCTGTGTAAACAGCCTCTAGGAGTAGATCCTTAGACTAAGTCCTTTTCAGTGGGATTCCTGAAAGAGCCACTGTGAATCATGTTTTACTGTTAACTGTACAGTGGATTTTACCTGACAGGATAAGGGATTCCTGGCAGGCCATGTTATCCAATTTTACACCAGAAGAATTAATTCTCTTTCAGCTAATCTTTCTCCACAAATCCAGGTGGACTAAATAACATAATTTAGAACTGGTTTTTCAAAATAAAATATATTTATATAGAAATAATATACTATATATTTATATTATTGTGTTGTGTATAGATATAAATATACTTATACAAATATATAAATAAAATATATCTGTAAAGCCAGAGGTTTAAGTCAAATTTTGGTTCACCATGGAATATAAGGGTTTTTTTGTTTTTGAGTTGAAGTCTCACTCTGTCGCCCAGACTGGAGTGCAGTGGCCGCTCCTGGTCACCG